TTTTTTTTTTTTTTTTTTAAGTCTAGCCCTTTTAGAACTCCTCTCTTGTGGTACAATTGGAAAAAGCGAGCAGCATAGCACAGAATAACATAGAAAGTTTGAGACAAAAACTAGAAAGAAAGAATAGCTTTATAGAATATACAAGTTCCCAGCACGACTTCTTAAAAAGAAGTGGGAGATAGATTTCAACAAAACATACCGAAGACATAAATACAATAATGACATCCACTTCAATATGATCTTCTTATTTCCCTGCCCCTGCCTGATCTCCAACCCCAGCATACATGTGATCTCTCTCTATGCCCAGACCTTTTCTTCACCTTCCTCAACTGCCATTTTACCTGATTGTCAAAACATATCTCTACTGAGAACTGAATTTTGTCAGCTATAATGCCTCCACTGGGAAAAATGGCATAGATCACCAGGGAAGGGTCAGGGGCTAGTCTGGAAGTGAAGGTCAGTGAGAGGGAAAAGGAGCCTTTTGTTCCTGAAAAAGAAGAGGGGATGGGGCGCCTGGGTGGCTCAGTCGTTGGGTGTCTGCCTTCGGCTCAGGTCATGATCCCGGGGTCCTGGGATCGAGCCCCGCATCGGGCTCCCTGCTCGACGGGAAGCCTGCTTCTCCCTCTCCCACTCCCCCTGCTTGTGTTCCCTCTCTCGCTGTGTCTCTCTCTGTCAAAGAAATAAATAAAATCTTTAAAAAAAAAAAAAAGAAGAAGAGGGATACACAGGGATGAGAATGCACACCCTTCTACCAATGACCTCCAACCACGTGTCTGCTCTTCTCACTGAACCTGCTGCCGGCCTCATGCTGCAAGTTACTTCCCATTTTCCTGCTCTCCTATGGTTATCGTTAGTGTGCTGCTCTCATTGCTTCTTCTTTTGCTTCTAGTATAACATTTCCTGGAAGCTTAAAATATCCTTTGGTCTTTCAACAGAAGCATGAACACTCACCTTCCTTCTCAAAGTTCAGGTGTTTCTGCCCCGCCATCTCCAAATGCCCTTTCCCTATTAACTAAAAAAAAAAAAATTAACAGCATGGAAGCTATGAGAGTTTAGCCTTGACCCTACTCTGGAGCATCCCTGCACCTCTCCATAAAGAGAGGCTCCTTTCATGGCTCCAGAGCCTGGGTCAATACTTCACACAGTGTCCATCAGTTGGTCAAATGTCAGATGGTGCCAAGAGCCCTGCTGACTCTTCCTCCTGGAGGGTGAGGTCTGCCTGAGAACCACGGGGGTGGATGGGAGGAGACAAAGGTCATCAGTATCTCGCGGCCAAACGGAGGAGAAACCATTCTTCACAATAGATAGCTGTCCACCAATTCTTGAAAGTCTTCAGGTTTTATTCTCTTATAATCCTTATAACATAACATTACCTAAAATCCACCTTCATGACCTTTTTTTTTTATTATCCCTCAATTCAAAATTCAATGGAAATGAGTGTGCTTTAAATTGACTTGAGCCCTTCTGACATTTGAGTCTTTGGAGGAGAACTCCCCTTTGCCTGAGTCTCCCTTCCTGTTCACTCCCTTGAAACCAAATTCAGTGAAACTTTCGAAGCAGGGCTGTCGTGGGCTCTATGGCCAGCTGCTCGGACTCCTGGCTGACACTCAGCCCTTCTACACTGATCAGCCGGCTACTTCTCCTGGGCCTCGCTACACCCCTGTCCTGAAGGGGCTGCGTGTGCTATCACTCTGACCATTCACTCTGTTGCATCAGGATGATTGTTTCAGCTTGACGAAGACACTGAAATGAATCAATGGGGAGAAAAATCCCTCAGAAACTTTGAGAGGATGATAAGAGAATGGAGACTCTAGGCCATCAAACCCAGGATTTACACAAATCTAATTTCTCACTATCACCAAGGTGACCAGTAAAGCTACTTATCTTTATACATTTCTTTCAAGCTACAAGTTATAGTTTTACACAACAAAGCTGCTATCCATGCTAATTTTAACCTTTATCATCTATTTTAAAATACTGACCAATGAAACACAGAATGAAATTTATTCCGAGTCCCATCCCCTCCTCATGCTCTCCCCCACTCACCCACCCAGCTCCCATTCAGCCCCGACCAACAACATTTTATCCTTAATTCCTCATGTTATCTTCCCACACAATTTCCCTGTTTAAAATCTCTTTTTTCTCATTCCTCCCCATCCTTTACACCTACACTGTGCAATACAGTAGCCACTGGCCACAAGTGACTGCTGGAGCCTTTGAAATGTGGCTACTATAAAATACATACCAGCTGAAACAAAAAATATGAAATATCTATTCATAATTTTGATGTGGATTTCATGTTGACATGATCATATGTTGGATACACTGGGTTAAATAAAATACTTTTTCTTTTAGTTTATTTACTTATTTAAGTAATCTCTACATACAATGTGGGGCTCGAACTCAGGACCCACAGATCAAGAGCTGCACCTCCCCCCGACTGGGTCAGCCAGATGCCCCCAAAAATATATTTTTAAAATTAGTCTTACCTAGGGGCACCTGGCTAGCTCAGTTGGTTAAACAGGGGATTCTTTTTTTTTTTTTTTAAAGATTTTATTTATTTATTTGACACAGAGAGAGAGAGCACAAGCAGGGGGAGTGGCAGGCAGAGGGAGAAGCAGGCTCCCCACTGAGCAAGGAACCTGATGTGGGACTTGATCCCAGGACCCCGGGATCATAACCTGAGCTGAAGGCAGATGCTTACCTGACTGAGCCACCCAGGGGTCCCAAAGCAGGGCATTCTTGATTTCAGCTCAGGTCATGATCTCGGGGTCCTGGAATGGAGTCCCAGGTCAGGCTCTGTGCTCAGCAGGGAATCCGCTTGGGATCCTCTCTCTCCCTCTTCCTCTGCCTCTCCCCCCATTGATACACATGTGCTCTCTCTCTCTCTCTCATAAATAAATACAACTTTTTAAATAAATAAATAAATAAAATTAGTTTTACCTATTCTTTTAATTTTTTAAATATGGCTTCCAAACATTTTGAAATTACCTCTGGGACTTGCATTATGTCTCTAGACAGTCTACCCACCCTCTCCGGCTCACCCTCCTCATTTCCTGTCCTTCCCCAGTGCACTTTCACCAGCCCTCATTTCCCTGTCTCACATAGTAGGAGAAGAGGACTTCCTGGTCAGGGTTTGCATCCTCTGGATCAATGTAATAATCCACCAGCACTTCCTGGGGCTGGCCACACGCCAAGATCCCATGTAGTGGGTGGATGTCAAGGAAGCTCCAAGTTGTGCTGTAGAAGGACTGCAGGTGCAGATAGCCATTTTGGTAGTAATGAGGCCTCTGTCCTGGATAGTGTACCGAATCTTCCATTTGGAATCTGCCCTAAGAAAAGGGAGAAAGAAAAAGACTCTTAACATATACCTTGACCATAGTAAGCCCATGGGCTTGTTACGGTTTTCAAACAGATCTCTCTCAAATCTTCACTGCCTAAGAATGGCATGTAGATATTTTACTAGAGGTCCAGCCAAGGATATTTGAGAAATCCACAATAGCAGCACTTTAGTATCCAGAGGAGTGAAGGACTGAATTATAGCTGCCAAGTAACGGGCAATTGTGGATGATAAACCTTCAGGGACTGATGCAGAGGATATATGGATAAGCACGACTAAGATTACATAGAAATTAAAGAATACATCCTAGGGATAAGAAAACAAGGCATAAAGGATAATAAGATTAAAAATAATTATTTCTAAGTAGAGTGATTGAGTAATGCCTTGTGTAAAGAACTAAATTAGCCACAACATAAATTGTATGTGTTTGCTTTAGTATAGCTGAATGATTGCATTAATGGCACAATCCATCCCTCCCCTGTTAATGTCCTTTACCATGTAATCTTACATTGCCCTTCTAGTCTAACTGCAGGCCCACCGCGTGACTTGTTGGGAATGGGATGTGAGCATATGCAAGATAAGTAGAGGCTTGGAAAAACCCTTGGGTGTCCACTTTTGCTCTTGCATCTCATCACTGCCATCAGAATATACCTGGGATAGCTTGCTGGCGCATGAGACACTGGCCTTCAGCCACAAACATGTGAGAAAGTCCACCAAGATCAGCACATCTGCCTATCTGACAAATAGGCACGAGCACGAGCAATAAAGCCTTGTTGTTGTATAATATTGAAGTTTTGTAGTTGTTTATTGAGCAGCATTGTGTCACAGTTGATAACTGATATGAGTAGCCTTCCATACAAGTTATCCAAAATCTAGAGTTTTCTTCTTTGCCATTTTTATGAGTAATGGCTCAGGGCAGGTGAAAAGAGGGGGATAGGGAGGAAGAAAATGACTCTCAACAATTTTTTCCTCCCTACTGTGATTTTAAATATAGGATCAAATAGAGATGGGGATAAGTTGTAAGATGAATTAGTAGAAATAACAATTTTTATCTTAACGGTCATTTATTAGATTGATATTTAAAACCAAAAAAACCCTGAGGCACCTGGGTGTCTCAGTTGGTTGAGCATCCTACTCTTGGTTTCGGCTCAGGTCATGATCTCATCAGGGTCCTGGGATTAAGTTCCATGTCAGGCTCCGTGCTCTGAAGGGAATTTTCATGAGATTCTCTCTCCCTCTGCCCCTCCCCCCCATAAATAAATAAATCTTTAAAAACAAAACAAAACAAACTTTTGTCAACTGGGAAGCAGGACTGGTGAGTGATGGAGATAGAATTACAAATGAGGGAGGAGGAGAAAAAAACAGGAAAAGTTTGAAGTTTTCCCTCAGGGAAGCCTTACCTCCAGAGAAATATCTCCCCCATTCCAATTAACTGTATCCAGTTTGAAGGGAGCAAGGCCATCACTGTCAGTAGTTAGGGTCTGGTTGATGGTTCCATTTATGCCATAAATCACCAGAAATACTGAATGATTCTTGAGAAGGGAGCCATCATGGCCCCTAACTCTTATCTGCGGCATGAAGATTATTGGGGCATTAGAGTTAGGTTTGGAGTAGGTTCAAGTATGAGGTAAAGTGAGGTGATAAACTCTAAGAATACATTTCAGGAAAGAGTCCAGAAACAGGTAAATTTGATTCAAGCGTTGGAAACTAACATCTATGAGGAAATGAGAAACAAACAGAAGTAGCTCAGCCTGGAGCAGAAGTAGATTTGCCATGTAGCTAATGAAGCTTTAGGACCCTTCATTTACATAGGCCCCTTCCAAGGCTCTCTGTACATTATTTTGCTTTAATTTTTTTAAACAGAGTCCCCTTCCACTCCCCAGTTGTATAATCCTTAGGCTCTAAGAAAATCTGGATCACTCTTGGTCTAGAGAAAAGATGACTAAGGATGGTTCTAAATGGATCTAAAAATATACAAGGTTATTGTGTGGAGCAGTTATTTGGAACTTAAAAAAGATAGATAGATTGTTAAGTATCAGAAAGAAGACAAGAGGGGAGCCTGTTGGCTCAGTTGGGAGAGCATGCACCTCTTGATCTGGGGGTCTGAGTCAAGCCCCACATTGGATATAGGGATTACTTAAATAAATAAATGTTTTGTTTTGTTTTGTTTTTAAAAGAAAGAAAGAAGACACAAAGGAAATTTTAAAATCTCTGAAACGGCTTAAGGAGCTATGAATGGCTCTCTGTCGAGGAAAGTTTAACATTAATCTTGCTTAGCTGAGGAGCCACACTATATGGTTTCTCTAGATACCTTGCAGGTCTAAAATTCAAAGATTTGAACATTAGATTATGAGCCCTTGGCATTGGGAAAGGCAATAAAGTCACATTCATATTCAAAGCACATCTCATGTGAGATTAAGGGCAGCACAGCATAAGGAATTAAGAGTATATACTCTGGATGCAGGCTGCCTGGGTTTGATCCTAGTTACTACTTACTAGCTGTATAACTTTTGGAAAATCACTTAACCTCTCTGTGCCTCAGTCTCCTCATCTGTAAAATGGGGCCAATAATAGTTTCTACCTCATTAGATAGTTGTAAAGATTAAATAAGTAAATACCTGTAGAGTACTTAGAACAACGCTAAATTAGCCATTATTATAGGTCTACAGGAAGAAGGCAACAGTGGATGGTTAAGCATTTTTTGTGTAGAGATATGTTTCAACATACCTTCCCACTGAAGGGGAAACTGGGGTAATAAAAATTTTTGGTGTCTTCAAAGGTTATTGATCCCACTTGTGAAGAAATGTTGATATCCTGAGTGGTACTGGCTTCTACTCCTGCAGAGGGAAACCAAATGTATGACAACTGAAATACCTGATATCCTCATCTTCATGTTTAACAAAAAAATCCCTGAAAGGACGGTGCTACTGGAAGCATGAAGTTGAACATATTTCTGGCCAAAGATCAAACAAACTCCTCCCCAACCTTTTAGGGAACTAGGAACAGATGACACGTTGGAATCTGACATTTCCATTTGACTGTGAACTAGGAACAGAGTCATTCCCAAACACTAGTGAGGGTAAGTCTTGAGTCCTCTAAGTTTATCCCTAGAACAGCCCTTCTCCTTTCTCTTTTCTTTTCTTTCTTTTTTAAAGATTTTATTTATTTATTTGACAGAGAGAGAGACGGCGAGAGAAGGGACACAAGCAGGGGGAGTGGGAGAGGGGGAAGCAGGGTTTCCGCCGAGCAGGGAGCCCGATGCGGGGCTCGATCCCAGGACCCTGGGATCATGACCTGAGCCGAAGGCAGACGCCCAACGACTGAGCCACCCAGCCGCCCCTTTATCTTTTCTTAATGAACCAAGAACTATCCCACCTACCTGTTCCTTCCTCCACCACAGTAGCCACAATATTGATAGTGTGGCTGTACATGTAACCAGTGAGGTTGAAGGTGGACATGTCCACAGAAGGGGAGAAGCATCCTGCTTTGTCAGTCTAGTGAAGCAATCAGGGAGAGAGAAAGAGAGGATGAGTAACCTAACTTTTACTCCCATTTCATAATGTACTATCGAAAGAAATTCTTATCTCCATGCTTTAGTTTCTCCACTTTGAAGATAGAAAAACTCTCCTATAACAATAGAGTATACACCTGCACATACACAATCATGAAACAACTTTGAAGATCCAAGATATAGGGGGGGAGAAGAACCAACTGCAGGGCAGGAAGATTGTATCTCCCAAGGATTTAGGTTAATTTCTTGACTCCAAGGCAGATTCTAAAAAAGACTTCATCTGGGGCGCCTGGGTGGCTCAGTCGGTTGGGCGTCTGCCTTTGGCTCAGGTCATGATCCCAGGCTCCTGGGATCGAGTCCCCGCACTGGTGTCCCTGCTCGGCCGTGGGGGGTCTGCTCCTCCCTCTCCCTCTCCCTGCTTGTGCTGTCTCTTTCTCTCTCTGTGTCAAATAGATAAACAAAATCTTAAAAAATAAATAAATAAAGGGGCCCCTGGGTGGCTCAGTCGTTAAGGAGCTGCCTTCGGCTCAGGTCATGATCCTAGGGTCCTGGGATTGAGCCCCACATCGGGCTCTCTGCTCAGCGGGAAGCCTGCTTCTCCCTCTGCCACTCCCCCTGCTTGTGTTCCCTCTCTCACTGTCTCTCTCTCTGTCAAATAAATAAATAAAATCTTTAAAAATAAAATAAAATTAAAATAAATAAATAAAAAAGACTTCATCTGTTTAGAATAAAGAAGACTGCTTTGTTCTTTGGAACTGGGGCAATAATTGTATGAAATGATTTCTACTTTGGGCTTTTTGCCACTTTTTATTTTTACCACCTTTCAACATATTTTTTTTCCTTCTTAAGTTTTTATTTAAATTTCAGTTAGTTAACACAGAGTGTAAGATTAGTTTCAGTAGTAGAATTTTGTGATTCATCACTTACATATAACACCCAGTGCTCATTACATCACGTGCCCTCCTTAATGCCCATCACCCATTTAACCATCCCCCCACCCCTCTCCTCTTCTGCAACCCTCAGTTTGTTCTCTATAGTTAAGAGCCTCTCTCTTTTTTCCCCCCATGTTCATCTGTTTTGTTTCTTAAATTCCTTTACCACTTTTTTATATAGGTGCTTAGTTACTCATTAGGACATATGAATAAGGTTCCTTTTCTTTTTTTTTTTTTAAAGATTTTATTTATTTATTTGAGACAGAGCGAATGAGAGAGAGCACATGAGAGAGGGGAGGGTCAAAGGGAGAAGCAGACTCCCTGCCGAGCAGGAAGCCCGATGTGGGACTCGATCCCGGGACTCCAGGATCATGACCTGAGCCGAAGGCAGTCGCTTAACCAACTGAGCCACCCAGGCGCCCATAAGGTTCCTTTTCTACATCCCATTTACTCACCTGTCCAGAAAGGTTCCTGCATTTGTCAGGTAGCTGTTCCCATTCTGCCTCTGGAAAATGGTAAGTATATGCCTTTTGACACACTGATACCTGCACTGCCCCTAGCATGGACTTTCCATAGGTGTACCTAACCCAGAAAAGCATGAGAAGTCAGAGTTGGGAGATTGCACTTGAGATCCAACCCTCCTCTTCCAAAACACCACTGTCCCTTCTTTCCCCTACTCCAACTTCTCAAAGTACTAACAATCCTTCACTAGTCTTGTTCACTTCCCTGTTTTACTCAAAGCCTTACGATATTGCCACTACACAATAAGTACCATCGGAAGGACAGAGACCGTGTTTTTCATTCTCCTTACTCCTATCTCTCCATGGGACTCAATACTGTGTTCTGCATAAGGTAGACACTGCATCAATAATGCTGATTGAGCAAGCGAGCGGTGGAAAGTAAGAGCAGAGACACAATTAGAAAATGTGTTCTTGGAGAAGTCGGGACTCTGGACCACATAAAAAGCTTAAGTTTTCACCACTGCCTCCATAATCTCTCTCCCCATGACACTCCCGTGTCACGCTTCTAATATAGCTTTACTCTCCACCAGATCCAGAGCTTTTTTCTTACCTACAACAGATTGTCACTAAGAAGGATTCTTCTACTGTTGATAACTGCTTGGGCTCTATCACGTCCACCTTAAATTTAGGCAACACTGGAGAGAGTGGAAACAGAAATGGGAAAGGAAGAGGAAGAGGATTTGACCATACAGGTAGTGGACAGAGGGGAATAAAAACAGTCATATTTAAATTAATTAAATTAAGGGCGATTATGAAGGCAAAATGCTCTTAAAGTTATTGGCTGGTTTAGCATGGATTCGAAAATGAATTTAAAAAAATCCCTTCCCATAGTAGATTTTACTTTACCTTTGCTGATCTGGGGACAAGATTATGTCCAACACGTTGACTACTAATTCTCCCACCTACCATATTCTTCCACACTGAACATGCCAAAGGTCGTGCCCCCAGCCACTTCTACTGTATAGGTTCCCAGCGTTGCTTCTGGTGCCAGATGGAAGGACAGGTCTACAATGCCTTGCTCAGGCACCACCTCCAGCCACTGAGCAATCCTGTTCCTACTTGGATCCTGTGTTCATTAGAAAGAAACTCATGAGGTACCTGCCTGTTTCTCACTATGCACTGCAAAAAAGCAGGTAAAGACACAAAGCGCAGGTAAAGAATCCCACTCATTGCTCATGACCCCCGTGGTCTGTATCCAGGAAGAACAGCTCCCTGTTTCATTTATGATTTTCTTTATTACTAAATGAAATAAATTTTCCCATAGGTCCGACCCCACTTGGGACGAAAAGCATCTTTGTGGATTCAAATAATCAGACTGAGTCCTCAAAGGGGTTATCACCAGTTTCAGAAAGTGGGCTTTCGGATGTCCTTTACAAAGAGTGTTTATTCTTGGTACCTATTTAGGGGCAACGCTGAAGGAATTTATCACAAGATACCCAACAGATAATCTAACAGAACAATGGAGGGGTTGCTGTGGGGCATTCATCCTTCTAGTCCCTTTCATTCTTAGCACTTCCCACAGGTATTCATGTCATATTCAACGGCTGAGTGTCTATGACAATAGTCATTAGAATCAGAGGAGTACAGAACCAAGTCTGGATGAACTGGCATGGCACAGAGAAGTCAGAGGAATCAGAGGGGGAGGGCTAGTCGCAGCGGCGTGATGTCCTTCTCTACAGAGCCTCAGGACTGAGAGGGTGGGGGCGCAGGCAGGAGAACAGGCGCAGCTTGGGTGAGCTCTGGGTGCTCAGTACTTGGGCAGAGTCTCGGGCTCTGGGCCAAGATCTCCGAGTTGTTTCTGGGGCTTCAAGGTTTAGCACCAAATTCATTTCCCCTTTTCCACAACTGACGGAAAAGAAAAGGAAACTTCGACTTACCTGCAGCTCCGCCATGGAGTACTGAAAAGGAAAATCAGATAATGTGGGTTAGAGCAGGATAAGCAATAAGGATGGGCTGAAAGCAGAAAGTTCACAAGCGCTTCTTTCTTTCTCTGTTGCCCATTTCTTCTTCCTAAATGGCTCTTTTGTGCCCTCATCAGGGTAACAATGGAGTAAAAACTTATTGGCTAGGGGAGGAGAGAGAAGAGATTTCTTCAAAGGGATTGCCAGTCTCCAGAACATTTGAAGAAATGAAGCTTCAGGGGCACCTGGGTGGCTCAGTCATTAAGCATCTGCCTTCAGCTCAGGTCATGATCCCAGGGTCCTGGGCCCCGCATCGGACTCCCTGCTCAGTGGGAGACTTGCTTCTCCCTCTCCCACTCCCCCTGCTTGTGTTCCCTCTCTCGCTGTCTCTCTGTCAAATAAATAAATAAAAAACAAAAAAAGAAAGAAAGAAAAGAAATGAAGCTTCAGACCCTTCAGCATCCCTTAGTGCTCTGGGGCTGAGCGCTACCACAACATGCCTTAAGAGAAAGTCTTAACATCTGGAAGCTCCCTGATGTTTAAACCTCTTCTTGGGAGCCAACTATCTCCTTGCCTCCTCTGCTGTCTGAATGTCACTGGCAACATGGTAACATTTAATTTCTAAAAAATATTTTGTTTAAAAGAGTTACATCAGGGCACCTGGGTGCCTCAGTCAGTTAAGCATCTGCATTTGGCTCAGGTCATGATTCCAGGGTCCTGGGGATCGAGCCCCGCATCCGGCTCCCTGCTCA